TTGCCATATTTTCAAGGCGTTTCCTAGTGATGCTCGCTCGGATGTCATATACTGATTTTAGTAGAGCGTTTGAATTAGTTAACCATAACTTAATTATCTTTAACTTTGATGCCTCTGACTTCTCTTTCTACCTAATGAAATATGTGTTTGCAATGGTTTAGGGATTCTCTTGCAACTTGGATCTGCACCGGTTGTAGATATGCCTCTAATGTACTGTAGCCGCCTTGTTTTCTATTCCAAAATTATCCACATAATCCTCGACATAATGGCAATTGACTATTGGCTTTCACCGCATCTGAGTGTTCATCTTTAAATGATTCGTTAATATATTTGATGTAATTTGCTGAGAAGGTTGAAATGGCAACTGGGAAATTCATAACTTTCTTAAGGTGAACGTCAGGTGCTTTGGGTTTTTCTACACCCCTGCACAAGAATCTTTGCGCATCTTAATCCTCTTTACGTATTGCCACGCGATGAAACATTTCACGAATATCGGCACACACTTTTATCTTATCCTGACAGAGTCACATTAATATTGATAAAAGTGGCTTTGGTTGGTATTGACTTGATCTTCTCATTAATTGAGAATTTAAGGAAATACTATTAATTGATGCGGCGGAGTCAAAAACCGAACGACGTTTGTTTGGTTTATTAGCATTTTGAACCACAAAATAACGAAGATACCGCACTCGGGTACCGGTTATGATAACTTTTACTGGCAAAACACGAAATTCTTCATACGGTACAAGTGGTTCTTATTCTAATTTGTTCTCTTTAGTAATGGCAGCAGCTGTATATTTTATCGATTGAATTGTGTTGTTCTCATAAAACGAAGGCGGTCTGAACACAGAAAACGGCAAATTCGTCGAGCAAACGGCCTCGGAGCGAAACGGACAGTTGTTTCACGACGGTTTTAATACCATCGATAGATCTCCCTGTGTACAAAATCGTGTGTAGGCGGTAGGAAGATGTCTCATAAGGTGAGAAAAACTTGTAGACAGTAAGGCTAGTGATCTCCTTGCAACTAGTGCTGCTATCAATCAAAAAGTTTGGGTTACTGGATTCGGTAGACCTTTGGGACATACCTATGTTACATTTAGAGGGCACTTGTGGAATTTTTCCTATAGAAAAAAAAAGACATTCTTTTTCGTGAAGAAATGTGATACCACAACACATTGTCGAGACAAGGCAAGGTTATGGCTTTGGGAGCCAAGCTTGCAGGCGATTTTTCGAAGAGGTGGTTGAAGTCGGTGAACCTCGCCTCAACTCTTAAAGCGTTATTGGGAAATAGCTATTAACAGGCCAATTGTAGTTCTAAAGCATTTGCCAATTGCTGCGTCTATCTTTACAATATTGGTACTAGAGGATCATCCATAAATCACAACGTCTTGGGACAAAATCCCAATTACAAGATATTTTGCAGCAGTATTGATAACTTTTTGACCCTACGGTTTGTAAACCTAATCAAATACAACTCAGTTGGCTTTGCCCTTGTCTACATATGATACTTAAATACTCCATAAATGGATGTTCTTCAAATATTGTATGCGTGGTGTTAGCATATATGTTGTATAAAACTGTAGAAAGGGTGATCCCTTTGGGACTCCATTACCCATATAACCTGGAAGAGCCAATTTTAAAGTGCATTCGGCGAGAAAAGAATGGAGTAAGGTCATAATTTTGCGAGTATTACCCCATTTATTGAGTTTTGCGATGATTTGGACTAAAATCACTCAATCAAAAAACTTGTATGCCTGCTGAGATAACCAATGAGTGTTTCTTCATTAATAAAGTATCTCGCAAAACTTCCTCTAGCTGATGGCCAAGAGTACATACTCCATATCTTGGCAGAAGGGCGTGCTGTACTTTAGAGAAATTTTTTTCGGTGTGCCTTAGAAATCGCTTGGTGAGGATTTTCTCCAAATCTTTGGATACTATAAGAAAAATTGAGATGGTGCTACATTTTTGCCATGTTTAAGTATGGGCGATGAAACTGCTGCCTTCTACTTATGTGGAAACGTACCAAAAATAATAAAGTTATACAGCTTGCAAAGGCGTACTTTAATATTAGGAGTGTTCTTCACCATTGAATAACAAAGTTTATCCTTTGAGTGTTGAGTTTGATCAAGTTCTATTACGTCATATGAAATGTCCCAATTACATTTGGCTGAAACAATATCTTGAGTTGAAAGCGTTATCTGAAATCAACGGACCCCAAGACTAAGTTATTTCTTATGGAGTGAAGTGACAAAACCAGATAAAATTAAGGTTGACAGTGTAGGTGCTCTTGATCTTAAAATATTTTCTAAGCACAAGAATCCAAGGCCGGTTTATTTCAGTGTAGACTAACGATCTTTAGCGTCTGGCATATCCAAACAGGTCAAATCCGTGGCCAAGTGGAAGCTACACATATGTAATAAAAAGTAATGTTGGGGAGCCGTCATTTAAATTGACTGATATCCTTTTGATTAACCAATTGAAAAAGCACAGAAGAAACTATTTAAACAGCTGCTGATAAAAATCGTCATATGCATTTTACCATAAATAAAATTTTTGTATTTGTATTTGTTTTGTGTGAAATATCTTGAGTTCATGAATTGAACATTCCTTTCAATGCTGTGTGTCTCTTGTAGACAAATGAGGTTAGGCTTGTGTTTTGCAATTAAAATTTCCAAAGCGTACTTATAACATAAGTACCCCTGGATACTTTATTGAAATAGCTTGGCACCACTTTAGTTAGGCATAAAAATAAAAGGTAAGGTAGTTATGAAGACAAAAGATTGATTTAGAAAATAAAACTTGTATAATTGGTTAAAGCTCTTTTGTGTGTTTCCCGCGTTATGAGGACAATTAAGTCGGGGAACTTTTAAGAAGGCTTGATTGCAGCAGACATTCCAGCATTCCACGAATTAGCGACATCCGGTGAGGGCGAGATCGCAGTCCATCAGTTCCTTCCCCGTATCATGTAATCTTTGGGATAAGAGCAAGACTTCTGCTAATTTGGAAAATGTTATAGGGTATAAGGGGTTCAGGCTTAAGAGTAAAAAAAATCGGTGGCCATTCATCAAGCTCAAGTTGAAGTTATTTGCTACGTCTTATTTTTGTTATCAACGATACTGTCCAGAGATAAAACACTGAACCGGTTATAGTTAGGGGGACGAACCACGTTCATCTTTCATAACGCAAAACAACACTTGCATAAAAAGTTATGTAAACTGAAAAACACTATGAAACCGTATTCATATACAGAAAGCCTTTGATTAGCTGTAAATGGAGAAAGTCACAAGTATTAATTTATTGGATCTTGGTTTACACACAATTACTATTAATATATATTACCATTATTGCCATTATATTTATATAGAAATATATTTAATTAGAATTATGAGAGACAATTAAATGACAAAATAGTCCAACGTTTTGTTGTAGGATCTAGCTAGGAGATTATTTTATGTTTTTACTATCAACAACGTATCTAATATCTGTAATGCTGTTAATTAGCAGCAATTTGATTGTTTACTCTTTCGTTCTCTTTCATTGCGTCGCATTCTCTCGAACCTTTGCAGAGCAGAAACATATAAAATTTTATGTTTTTAAGTGAATTTGCGTTACGGCATATACGCAGGTGTGTACGTATGAAAAAAACCAAGCAGTATGTGTATATGTAGGAAGTACATTGTTTTTCTCTTCATCGTTTATTTCACATTGAAAAATTCTACATTTTATGTTCGCCAAATGCTCCGATAAATGTTAGCAACAGGTTTCGTAAGAAGAAATATGAAAAAATTTTTTTATCATTAAAAGGACTTATGTTGTAGGAATAATTTATCGTTACATAATTTGCTTATTATATGTATATTTATCAACTTCGTAGATTTGACATATTTTTACAAATTTTCACGTCACACATGACTTACTCTATTGTAGAATATATTCTGGAATATGTTAAAATATTATGAAATTTCTTAATTCATCTTCAGAGTATATTTTCATTGAAATATATTGGAGCAATGTTGAGTTTTTCAATGTGAAACAAACGATGAAAACAAAACAAATTATATTTGCTACATACATAAGCACTGTTTAGTTTTTTTCGAACGTACACTCTTACACATATACAATAGCGCAAGTTCGCTTGAAAACACAAGATTATACATTCTTCTGCTTTAAAAACGTTTAGGAGAATGTGACTTCATACTAATAAACTATTAACGGAGTTTTTTCCCAGACGAATAATGAGAATGAAAGAGCAAAGAGTCAAATGGCTACTAATTAACCACGTTGCTGCTGTTCATAATAACCGGAAAACCAAATTCGCAAGGATCTTTTAGTTTGAATTTTGAAATGAATATAGGACCACCCGGTTATTTAGTTGTCTTTGAAACTATCAATTTCAGTTATGGTAACCTTAATTCTTAATTCTTAAATTAAATAACTTGAATCTACAATTTTATAGTATCATAAAGATGCTTGAAAAAAGCTATATGTATATGTGTACGTATGCATATATACATAGACAAAAATGTCAGATCATTCAATAGGTATCTGGTTTCACACATGCACATGGTTTCGGGATAGTACCAGCCTTCAAACGGAGTATGTAAAAATGTTATGACATTTCGACCATCAGTTTATAAGTTACACTTTTTTTGGTGAGATGCAACTGTCTGGACCAAATTTTTTTTTTTTTCTGGAACAATTCACTGAAGGGATAGCTCCTATGAGTGCAATACCATCACGGTCAGAAATAACTGACTAATGAAGAAGCAGTAGGGTGGCGGCCGCAGCCTATTTGGGGCGTGCCCAGTCGGTTTTATGCTTTTACCTGCTCAGCACTCACTATAGCTGCAGCCAAAATAAATTCAACCGTACTGAGATTTGAACCTCCGAAAATTTATCTTTAATTTTAAATTGACTATACAGTTAATTCGAAAATGCGTGCCCTCTAAACAGTATATAATATAAATATAAAATGCTACTTCTTGATTTATATGTTTCAGTATGTTCCACAAAACGCTGCTGGGAATAATAATGGGAATGTACGAACAAATCCACAGTCTAATAATAACATGTTTCGTCAGACTCCTTCAAGTCCAGCACCTCGCAATCGTTTCATGCCAAACACAATGTTTCCCTCGACTGTTCAAAGTGTAGTACTACAACAGTTCCCATATCCAGCACGTCAACCGCAATACCAGCAGTTCTCATATGCAGGTCATCAGTACTATCAGCAAAACTCGTATTACTCATTTTATCCTCTTCAGCAGCCACCACAACATCAACGAACTGCCACTCTAAGTGTAAATAGTGGTGTTAATGTTGGAGTGGGTAGCGGTATTTCCGGAGCAGTAGCGGGTCCGACGACAGCTAATCAAGCTCAGATCACCCTAAGTGTGCCTCCAGTAGGGAATGCAGTTTTAGGAGTAACTAATGCAACACCCACTCAACCTGTTGGTGTCAATACATTAGTGAGTGTAATGCAGTCGCCACAGCCCACAACAAGAAAAATTCGACGGCACGCTCTTGAAATTATTGATCCAAATACAAATCGAAATATTCTTGAAGACTTAAAGTCTGAAAAGGTATGTATATAAATGATTTTGTATTCACCAATTAAGGAAATTATGTTTTTAAGACAGTTTGTAATTCAAAGAACTCAATTTAGCAGTCCTAGGGTAATTTAAGAAGAAAGTAATGTATAAACTTTGACGTGGACTAGCTCAGGCACGCGCTGAAGTTTTTTAACAGCGGAAAAATAAAATATCTAATTGTTGATGGTACTACACTGCACCTGCAAGACGCATCAACTTATTCATTCGATTAGTTTGGTACATATTGAAACAAAAATGAAACGATTTGATGAAGAAATACACTACATTTGAGAAAGGCTGGCTACTTAATACCCAACAATACTACGCCTAACGTAATTCGACATTTTTTTCGTGATAAGATAACAAAAGTTTTACCTTGTTCTCATATAACGACATACTTTTTATGAAGTCCTTATATAGGAGCAGCCCAAAAACACGAACGCATCTGGTTCAAATTTTGCAAAACTAACGGAATGGTCGTAAGGTAGATTAAAAAAATTTTGCTGTACCAAATTTTCCACATCAACTTCGTATACCAGGAAGTTTTGAAAATTACAAATATTGATGTTGGAATGTAAACATATCTTCCATGCTTTAACGTTTTTATTCGACTTCTTTTTAGATTAAGTTCGTACCACTGAATGGTGATTTTTTAGAATAGTATAGGGTTTATTTACAATTCGTAGGAGATCTATTTACAAGCTATTTTCAAAAATTTATGTTTAAAATGATTTTTGTTTCGTCGGCGATTCAAGTCTCTTGAGTCAATTAACTTTGTATTCTGCTTATATACTGTTTTAAAAGCAAGTTATTAATACCTAACTTCATCGCGAAGTTTTTGTATTAATCACATTTTCCGCTGAATGTTCTGTCAGTGTTTGCTAATCTTTCCGGCAATCGGCAACTACATGAACCAGAGCAAACGTTATGAATGTGTATTGGATTTCCACTTTCTGTCGAATTTGGTTTCTTATAAAATCAATCAGTTTTCATGAAAGCTCAAATTCTCAAATGTGGGATTTTCGCAACAATATAATGAATTTTCAAAACGTGGTCTCTGCGCCAAAAAAAAAAAAAAACGCGTGGTCGAAAATGTGGTTCGATCTGAATCATTTTCAATAGCGTTCATAGTTGGCTTAAGAGCCAAAATACGTCGCAAACGTCGCAATATCTTAAAATTGCGATATCTAAGTTGAACGCAAGGTTATAGACGGACAGACAAGCTTAGATGGATTCAGAAACTGATCCTGATTCGATAGATGTAATAAAGGTATGTCTACCTGAAATCCTTCTTACTTAATATATAAATATATCATAAGGACTGGGGTAAAGACACTAATAATACAACGCAACGAAATGAGACTGAAATTTTATTATTCAAGCCTTTTCCCTTGTTATTATAGCCATTAATACTGTTTGTACACAATATACGCTCCTTTAAGAATTCGGGTTCCGAGGGACTCCTACTACCTAAAAATTTTTACAAAATGATCGGTTGTGGCCGGTATCTTTTTCGTCACTTTTATGGCTGATTTTTTCCATTCTTATAGAATATGTGTGAAAATTTTTAACGTGTGCGCCCATAGTAGTCTTCGAGTAGTGAGAAAAAAACGTAGAAAACACGTGTTCTCAACTTACATTGCACTGCAGGCGTGTCCTTTGACTGATTTGGCCAATTGTTGATGCTAACCTGCGTGCAAGAGCTTTCAATAATTTTGTCAAAACTGAAACCGATATCTTTATTTTTGCAGGCAGGAGAATGTTTACCACTGGTATTACACTGACTGATTTTGAAGTAGTGTCTTTGGTTTATACCATATAAACCATATAAATTATCACACCAAAGTGCGTACAACAAAGAGCTTTGAATATGTCCACTTTTACGACAGAAAAAACCCAGTTCGCGCGAAAGTGGTGCTTTTCCTGGTGCTATGCTTTTAGTGCTGCTATTTTCACTTGTGCAATACACAGAGGCATTCATCTACAAGTAAATAGGCAGAATTTTCTGTCCCGCACAAAAAGTCGTTAATAAACATAAGGTAGGGGGAATGAGCAAGACATTAAAGACGTGGGGATCCTTGCATTTAAGTGAAATTTGTTTGAAGTAAATTGATGGATTGCCACTGTTATCGTTTAGGAAACTCGATGCAAATCGAGCGAATTTGATATCGCCGCCAAACGCAATCAGCATGAAAGCCAGAAAATCTTGTTTCTATTGAATACTTCAACGTCACTAATTTTCTCGAACTTACGAGTAGATCGTTTCCACTTTTCGGTAGGATAAGTTATTAGTGGATCAATTTATACAAAAGCCATGGTGTTGATCACTATTTAGGGCGCTGGAGTTGAGTTATCTTGTTAAATGGTAATGTATTGATACTGATCTCTGCCCAATTTGGTTTATGCTATTGGACGATTTCGCATTTCAAGGCATATGAAAAGGATACGGAAATGGTATGGTGCAGGGGTTCAAGAGGCAGGCGCATGCACGGATCTTGACTCTGTATTTCTGTGGATGCGAAGTAAGAAAAATGTCTCGTGTATTTATGCGCAACCCACCAACATTTGGGATATGAGCTAGGTCCGTTAAAAACTGGCCATAATCCATCGCCATCGCGTTCGTCTGGGATTGTGTGCATCACAAGCAATTCGTGTCGTTTATAGAATCGCAAAAAGAGAGTTTATGAATGGCATTGTAAATAAGGAGGGTTTTTTAAGGATATAGAAACAAAAGTGGAAAGAAAGAGCAGACAATATTGGTGTTTTGGAGAAATTCAAATTCCAGCAAAATAACAGCCTCAAGCGTAAATCCCGCTTAATTCAAGAATGGCAAGAGCCATATATAACTGCCACAAAGTGCTCGACCCTCTTCCACAAATCACCAGGCATGAACCCCATCAAAAATATGTGGGAAGAATTGGACCACCGTGTGCCAAAACACTGAATCTTTTCTGTCCAAGATCTGCATAGAAAATATGCCAAAGTGTCTAAATGACGTTATTAAGCAACAAGGATACTTCTCCAAATATTAATTTTCAATAATATACTGTTTTTTTCTGCGTATTATTCCTTATATGAAAAACATCCAATATTAATGTCGCTGTGTTTTTAAAGTTCTTGAAGTTATTTCATTTTCTTCTCTACTGGAATAATGTTTTACTTGTCTTTTTGATATTTTAATATATATTACCTACCAGTATAAAATAGTAAGAACAGTTTTTATGTTCGAACAATGGACTAGGTTTATCGTGCGTTTACTTTTTTCGAGCGAAAAAACCCAATATTAATGAGATTCGCTGTACTTGTTATATATCATATAATGTCACAATGCCTCTGTGTATTCTGAAACTGCAAGTTATGCGATTACTAAGCAGGTGTAAATCGGTTAGACCATTGTGCTCACTTACTTGAGTCCCATAGAGTGCAAATATACTAGATCAAAACTTCCGCACATTGTAACGGTCAATTTTGAATTTACTAGTCATTGCTACCTATATTCGTGCGGTTGTTGGGCGACTATTATTGTTCTATTATTATTCTTATTGTTTTACTAATTTAGCCAAAGAAATAAATTTTAATACTAAGACCATAAAGCAATAGCACCTAAAGCTATCCGTTTTATTGAAAATTCTACCGCATTTGAAATTTGAACCCACGATCTTTAAGCTGTTAGTCGAGATCCTTTACCTACTTGATCGCTCAAGCGGGTACTGTTATTGTACATGACGCCATTGTTGTTGTTGTTGCAGTGAATGATGGTGTGTTTTTGTCCTCTGATGCTGATATTCGTGTTCTTTTTTGGTGTGCATGGTAGATCGCCCCTGCCATGTCAGTGCAATACCCGAGACCTATATATCTCGAAGAAAAGTAGTTCATGGTGTTGGCAACCAAGGAAGTATGGTGAATCCGAAGCAGGTACGGTTGTTTTTAACATCCGCCCAAAGTGTGCCAAAGGCTTTGTAAAACAAACTGGGAGCCACGGGGGTCAGGAGGCTCCCCTCACAAAGCCACGTATGCCTGCGGGTGTATGATGGACTTTGTTCATAAAGTCGTTGGAATTAAAATTTTCTCAAGAGAGAGTTACTTATACAAAAAGGATTTGACGGATGGCCTTCCCTTTGGCCTATTTTTTAATAAACTCTCTTGAGAATTAATACAAGCAAAAATTAAAAAATGGATTTGACGGAAAGGCTTTTTCCCCTTTTGCCTTACTTTTACTTTTGAACATATGTCACGGATGCCTGCGGGTAATGGTGGTAGTTGATCAACGGCGCCGTGGAAACCTTATGGCGGAAGCGAGCGCAATTTTTACCCTTTTTGAACGCATATCGTTGATCAATTTGTGAGTCCTGACTGCTTGGGTGCGGCCCTTCGGGGAGTACTCGTGGTGGTTGTGGTTGGCAAGTTCCTAGCCAAAGTGGAACAATTTGAGTGCAACTAGGCCTCACCACTGACCAGAGTGGGGTTTATTGTTCCATACACAATAAACCGTTCTGGACTCTGGTGTTGTTTAGGCCCCTACTCTGTGGGGATTGGCTAACTCGCCAAGGGGCGTAGTACGCTTAAAGTGGCTTGGGCCACCGTGGGGTTAAGCCTTTCAGGCAGGAATCCACGTTAAACCCTTGCTACAAATTCTGTTCTTTTTTGGTATTCTTTGTGCTGCTACAGTTTTCTAAAACGTTGTAACACCTGCAACATGAAATTGTATTATCCATTAAAACGGACAGTCTTGGGTCTTCAGTTTTAGGTCTTCTCTGCTTATGTATCCTCTTGTTAAATATCATTACAACTCCCTTACATTTTCCGATAAGTGTTGCTGCTGTTGTTGTTGTTGATTTTGTATCGAGAACCGCAGTATTGTGATTTCTAGTAAATATGTAGGCCTTTAGCAGAAATAATCACAATGCGAAATAGTTTTATAAAGCCAATGTCTCATTTTCTATGTCGCATAATCAGGCTGAATGATTTTCCATATTATTTGTATGATTTTTGTAGGACGCACATGAAATGTTTACTGCGTTGTTTTATATTGAAAAACGACATGTGTTTAGTGTTTCTGTTTATGAATTTGCTTAGATTGGTACGAAGAAACTATATTTGTAATATTGAGGGAGATATTTAACGGAACAAGATGAATTTTGTTTTGTTGGTATGTAGACGGTATTGGCTTAGATAGGGTTTTTGGTTTCTATTTATTAATATGAATTGTTATTGACTTCAGTTCCTTATGTATTATACTTAGATCGTCATATCCTTTATATTGTTTTCATGTAGCTTTCCCATAACTTTTTGGGGATGGTACTGTATGTAAGGTTCAACTAGCTTTTCAAAAAAGATATCATTCGACTATACAGATGACACAACGCAATGGCAACCTCGCCCACAAAAGAAAATGAGGTGCAATTGGACAATTGAAGAAAACCCTAGGTATTGTACAGCATAAGACAAAGACAAGACTCCTGTGGGCATCCTACAAACGTATTAACAAGCGAATACAGAGTGCTCCCAACATAAATCTTGTACGATTTATGTTCACAGAATTTCAGAATAATTCTTTTGATATATCGTCAATCAGTGGCTTGTGACACCCACAGATTTCATTAACTTGTTAGCTAGTTTATGTGAAATATTGTGTTCCTTACGAAAATCAAATTATTGAGAAGTTATTATTATTAATTTTGCAAAGCCACCTTGACTTTCTCTAATATTTAATTAAAGATGGCAGAAAATTTAATTGGTTTTTAAGACGTTGGAAAGAGCGGACACTTATTGAGATCATTTATTAGGTCAGTTTAGCTTCCTATTGTTTACTATTTCTGCGATCAAATAGTTAGTACTATTAGGTCGATTTTTTTAAATTTGGTTGCTTATACCGTCGATATCAGCTACCATCTTGATTTTTACACTTTTAAAAACAAGATTTATGCTATTTTCTGAAATATACTAGTCGTTTAGAATATATATTTTCTGATGGCATGATGGTTAACGAATTAAGTGCTCAGTTGATAGCAGGTGTTGTATACCTTGTGTTACTGTATTTGGGAAAAAGCTTATAACTACATTTCTGTCGAAAGACCTGTGAAATATTCCAAAATAGAGAAAAAGCTTTGTCAAAATTTGACAATACACAACTCGTGCAACCTACTTATATTGAAGATAAAAAAAATAAGCATTCGTTTCAAATTAATTAAATGATTATCCGTTAATGTCTATAAGATTTGCAGACCGAGTTTTATGTTTCAATGTATTACGATAGTCGCTTATTATGAAAAGTAAAGCAAATTTTGGAAATACTTAAATCTATCGCTGGGTTAATAAGATAAAAGAAATTGATTGCTAAATCAATGTTTGATTTATTAAGCAGACGGAAGTTTGGTTGTCGATGCAGATTGTTTGCTAAAACAATATACCAAGAAATATCTAAAATACCAAGCTAAAACTCCCTTAAGCAGAACATTACTCAAGCAAATTGGACGCCTGCCGAACCAAGAACTTTCTGCAATTATAATCGCCGCATAACACAATTCCTTTGTCATCATACATTAGCACCAAAAATTTAAATTTTATTTTTATTTGGTCTACCTAGCGCAAAATAACATAAAATAATGTAAACATTTCTTTCGGTAATTTCTGAAGATATCCTTGTCTTTCTAGTTAAGGTAATATTCAAAGGTAGTGATAGTTTGTGAGGTATTTCTACTTTGGATGTTATAACAACTTCATCTCCTCTTGAATTTTCTTTGGCAATTTTACAATAGAAAAAAGCATTACTGCTTATAGGAGACTTTCCTGAGAGCATCGTTTTAAGTTCCATTTTGGTTGTGTTCTGTATAGAACTCGGGTAAAGCGCTGAACAAAACGCTATAGAAGTTACACATAATTAGCATTTCTAATTTCGCTTCGCTACCGCAAAACATATGATTTCTTTAATTTATAAGAGAGCGCCGAGAAGGTCACTTATTTATTGTCGTAATCAAACTGATTTTAGTTAGAGTTATTTCCAAATTGAGAGATACTGTGCACAGTTCAAGTAGTTCGATCTTTTAAGGATTTTGGAGTTTCGTTCCAGGTTCTTCGTAGTTGTCTCTCCATGATTTTTTTTCATATTTTCTATAAATTCTTTTCTTTTTGTTCTTTTTTTTAATTTTTCGTTGTAATAACCTTTTCTACCATCACTGAACGACAGCATCGATTATTTTTAATGTTTTCAAGTACGGACATTATTATCGCATCTCACATTATGCATATCTCCCAATTTAGTTTTCTTAGCATGATTTTTGACGATAATTCCAGTTCTATAGTCTTTCCATCAAAAATTACATCCTTTGTTCCAACATATGTTGTTAGGCATGGTGCTACCCCAGTTTGTGTCTTATTGTCTTTGCTTACTCAATGCCCTCGAGAGCACTTTACTCGTATAGTCCAACAGAGCTGCAGTCGAGTCGGAATGGAAATGAAATTATTATCGAAATACGAATTAATTATAAAGGTTATGTGTTTTACTTACAGCTGTTCCTGGTAGTCATCTTCCAACACGTTTTTGAAGTCTTATTTCTATTGCCTGGTTGGGAGAATTCTTTCCTTTCTAAACAGTAGGACTTCTTCTTCTCCTGTCCGGTTTTTGTACCAAATATAAGATGAAAATTTTATATATATATATATATATATAGTGTATATATAGTATAAATAGTATAAATATATAGTATGAAAAAATTTGTGGACGAGTTCGTGAACTGTATCGGCCGGGTAAAGCGCTAAAAGTGTTGAAAATCGAACCTTCTGGAACGAAACCTGACTTTCGTACTACCGACTTTGGTGGGCCATCTGTACAATGCATGCCACGAATTATTTCTCAAAACTTTAAAATGTTATCGCCTTAATTGAAATTATATTATAAACTACAGCTAATTTGTTCAAGAATTGGGTTCTCTTTCCAAATGTAATTAGTTTCGAATGGTTTTGCAAACATTACAAGCTTTTCTTTTTTTTTTTAACTATTTATCGATCGTCACCTTTTACATGCGCATGATAGGGTTAGTGCTAACAAAGTTATACGTCTTTTGTGCCACAACCATTTTCCTTGATACGATATACGTATATTTGCGTGATTACAAATTTATAGCCTTTGGTTTGTATTAACTTAAAAATGTACAGGAATTTTTGCTAAATGAAAGTTCTGAATTTTAAAACATTTTTGACGATGAATTTCAAAATTCGTTTTCAGAATACTTCCTCTACGGATATAGAATGCCAAGATTCGATAAGCGCAGCACAATTAATACAAACAAAGGTACCGGAAGAGGCAGGACATGTAATGAGAAGTACTTCAGAATTTCGGAATTACGATACAGGTGAACTAACTGATGATGTTTAAGTGCATCATAACTTCATCGCTGCCGGTTTATCATTGTATTCTAATTTTCAGATACACGTGAAACTTCAGAACAAGAAGAACGTAACACAATTAATCAGACGCCAGTTGTATCTGCCATGTTAGCTCCAGAAATATACCCTGCTCAAATGCAGAAAACAAAAAGTAAAAAGTGAGTTCTTTGTTAAAAATAATTGGAACGCTTTTTTAATGTTCACTTATGTTGATAGGATGCAAATAAATAAAGCAGATCAAAACGTTCGGAGTATAGGTGAGTATCAATTTTATTAAATTAAAAATATTTTTCAGCACTTAATTTGCATATAAGAGCATTGTGAAGCCCGCATTCAACATATAGAAATTTTACGAAAAAGAGAAATTTGCTAGATCACATAATAATTTTTGTGTTTTTTAAAGTAAGTTCTCTGATTTTTATTTCCTGTAACGATTCTATGTTTGATTTTAAATAGAGATAATGGTTATATTAGTAGAAAATGTGGATTTATTTATCAAATCGCGACATATACGGTATATTCAAGAATATTTCATGTTGCATTTCAATGGAATATATCCTTCAGGCAAGCAATAGTCAATTGTAAAGGAACGAGGCGCAGTAAAAAATAATAAGAGCATTGCGAAACTCTTTAATAATAATTTAAGTATGCACCATTTCATCATAAAAACGATCAGAATATTATGGTCGGGCAGGGCCGACATTCAGTGCCCTACACGAATTCGCCGAATAAAGCTTTTCACTTGTTTGGGTAATAAAACAATATTTTTAATATTTTTGTATATACGTATACTTTCCATGAAAGTTGACGTATTGGAGGATGTCAAAAACATCATATAGCGTTATCCAAATATAGCAGACTTAATTTAATTCCCAAAAGTCATATTACTTATCAGTTTTCGTCATGAAAAAGTAAACTTTATCTGTTTTCTGTATAAGGGCTTGTTTGTCATTATAACTCTTATATTAGTTTGGGGAAAAAGAAATCCATTATTTTTTCGGTAGATGGCTGCACTGATAGATTTCTCGTAAAGTATCGATCAAACAATTTCATATTTATGCTCGTTTGAAAGGTGACATTTCGCAGTAAAAGAAATTCTTTTGCTGTTTTTTGTTTGGTGCATTCAGTTGTGAGTTACAGCGTGTTAAAAATGGAAGTGACCAAAGAGAAAATTCGGTACATTTTACAGTTTTTCTTTGACAAAGGCGAAAATGCAAGCCAGGCGGCTAAAATTGTGAATGGTGTTTATGGTTCCGATAAACAGTCAATTATGTGCAATTTTGGTTTCGTAGATTCCGTTCAGGAATTTTTGATGTTAAAGATGCACCTCGCACAGGTAGGCCGGTCGTCGAAAATGTCGATAAAATCGGAGAAATGATCGAAGTTGACCGGCATGTTAGCAGTCGTAACATTGCCCAGGAGCTAAAAATCGACCATAAAACAGTTTTAAACCATTTACACAAAGCGGGATTCAAAAAGAAGCTCGATGTTTGGGTGCCACACCAATTAACAGAAAAAAACATGATGGATCGAATTTCCATCTACGAAGCCTTGGCCAAACGGAATGAGATAGACCCATTTCTTAAACGGATGGTGATTATGAAGGGGATTATTTATTATGAGTTGTTTCCATATGGCCAAACGCTAAATTCTGCTCTCTACTGTCAACAACTGGACCGTTCGAAGATAGCGATTGACCGGAAACGGCCAGAATTGGCCAACAGGAGAGGTGTCGTGTTCCACCAGGACAACGCTAGGCCACACACATTTACAGTGACTCGCCAGAAACTTCGGGAGCTTGGTTGGGAAGTTTTAATGCATCCGCCATACAGTCCGGACTTGGCACCAAGCGATTATTATCTTTTTCTTGCATTGCAAAATTTCTTTAATGATAAAAAATTGGAATCTAGGGAGGATTGTGAAAATCGACTACTAGAGTTTTTTGCAAATAGAGACTAGGACTTCTATGAGAGAGGCATTTTGAAGTTACTTTTAAAAAGGCAACAAATCATACAACAAAACGGTGCATATTTGACCCAAATCGGACAATCCGAAGCATGTTAAATAAAGTCCTGAAGTTCATATGAAAATAATGGATTTCTTTTTCCCCAAACTAATATATTGTAATGTAAAGTTGCTTTTCATGATTTTACGTTTTTATTCAACTCCTTTTGAAATGAAATTTGTAGCGCTGAATTGTGATTTTTAGGATAGCACAGGCCTTATTTACTATTCTTAGAAGATCTATTTACAAGTTATTTACAGGAACTTATATTTACAATGTCTTAATTCTAGTTCTGATCTTGTCCGTTCGAATATTGCTCTCCAACTCTTTTCATTCGACTGACTATTGCCTTTCGTAAATATTCTGTTGATAGACCTTTTTACGGCGTTTTTGAGTTAATCCATTTTCCTCCAAATGTTCTGCTACTCCTGAATCTTTTCGGCAGCCAGCTGCATGTGGAAAGTACAGCGTTATAAATGTGTATTTGGTTTCACCATTTTGGGAATTTTCGGGATGGCTACTATGAGCCATCATCATTCATCATAAAACTTTAAAAACTAACCCTTTTTTTTGAAGGGTTTACTATTCATGAGAAATTGTGAAATATATGAAGTGGGGACTCATGTGGTCCATTTTTAGACCACTTAGTTTTAATGTCAAATTACGGCCATAAAGGAATTTTAATTAGAAAGCAGTTAGGCTTTTCAACATATAAGAGTTTACATTTCCTTGAAATCCGTACACGCAATGGTATGTGAAAAATAGACTTACGTTGTCCAAATTTGGTAAGGTTGATTTCTTTGTCAACTTACTCTTTTGAGCCGTTTGTCACCACGAAGTAGTGAAATTTGGACCTTTATGAAGATTTTGTTTTCGTCGAGGTTACTCTCAATCGAACAAAATTTTGCATCTCAATTTAAAATTACGAAATGCTATTACAAAGCGTGTAACTTTGCAAAATAGTTCATCATATGTAGAGTGGACCGATCCGAACCAATTTGAATAACGTTCGTCTTTGGGTCAAAACGTGTCTGTTTACCAAATTTTATTAAATATCTCAAAAATGCGACCTGCAGATTGAAGGCAAATTTCCAGAACAGGGGCGGGCTAATTTTTCAGATGTATAGCGAAGAAAAGTTTGAATATTAAAATAAATATTGAAAAATGTGAGATGAACACTTATATATGCGATTATGTACATATGTATGGGTATATAATTATAAATGAATATATAAGTATGTGTAAAGGAATGTTGTGTATAGATAATATTTACACATCTTAGCAAAGTGGAGAAATGCAATTATAACAAAAGCGTAAACAACCCATAAACAAATGTTTCATTAACATCTTGCGACACCATTTTTGCTATCGAGATAGAAAGCGATTTTTGAAAGCAGCATACTAAAAGCAGAGTGAATAAAGATGCTTCAATACCAAGTTTTAATTTTCGTTAGGTCATCAACTTCGTTGTTAACTTCATCATCTATATTACCAATGCCATTATCTGCAGCAGCAAACAGTCTGTATATAACGTTCTTCATCATAATATGTTTACGTATATAACACATATATATATATATATGGTCGCTTTAGTAGATAATATAATTTAACTAATCATACATACATAATTGCATCTGTTCCCTTTTAATTAACATTGGTATTATTTTTGCTATTGAAAGTGATATAAATTAAAAGGAAAACATATATATAAAAATGTACTAAGCTTTTTTTTTGTGTGAGAGGAAAGCATGTTAGAGGGTTATCGTACCCCTCTTTGGGGTATCCCATTTAAAATCGTGCGCCGAAGCAAATTACATATAGGCGAGGGTGGAGAATTAGCCACGGTTTATCTTCTCTCTGTTCGGTAAATAGATTTCGTCCGTCGGTTAATTCTTATAAGCAGTCACACATGCGTCCGTCTCCAAAACCTTCGATCCTGTTTAAGTGCCACAAAAATAATGAGGTCAGTAGTTCGATAATTAGACTGACAGTGAGAATTTGCAAACATAGCTGTTACATGCGCTTCACCATAAGTGGTATAGGTTATAAAAATCCATTATAATGCGGTGTTATTTAGAAAATTTATATGAACTATGTTGGCTGATGACAGATTATTTAAGAGTAAAGTTATTTTTGCGGTTTTTTTACAAAATCCATCGGGGTACAATGTTTACGCTCGTTTCCTGCCAGCGTGAGAAGTTGGATTGATTTTTTATTTGATACCTTTAAAAACATTCTAAGCAAAAACATGGTATCAAAGACAGAATGCAGAACAAGGTCCACAGGCGGACAAAGGAAGATAAAAGCACAAAGTTGATAGTCAACACTATTCCAGTTTGAATGTATAGGGAAAGTTAGGTCAAAAGTTGTTACGGTTAGGTTGAAATATGTCGCACAGACATAAGATTTGGAAGAACAGCACTACTATTTTACGAAATTCTTTCGGATTTATCAATTTCACCGCACATTATTGGAATACACATTGATATTATGAACTTATTAAGGTATAATTAACTAACATTGACGAATAATAATTAGATATCCGGCCTGCATATATTCTAACTTGATGGCCAAATTTTCAACTTAAAAATAATTTGATATAAAATTTGGTCTTTCTTCAATTACCTACAATAACCAAAAAAATATGTTCGTACTAGATGTTGGTCTGTATAAGAATTTACCGAAACTATCCAAATTTTCAGTAAAAAATGTTTTCCATTCCTTTGTAAGCAACAAATGAAGAACTGCAACATACGGCCTAAGAAGATATTGAACTAACGACGTAAATTTGAATCTAAAAAAAAAAATCACATAACCACATGTCTACACTTACAAAGGCTTGAGATTTTTCAGCAATATAAATTTTTGTATAATCGCCGAGTATTCGAATAAAAATGTTCAATTTTCGACTATAAAAAATCCAACCGTTTGTTAATAAGCATTGTTTCTATACCCTATGCCCTTCTTTTTCGCACGCCGTCTCGTGCTTCACGAACTGCGTTTAGCGTTTTTGAAATATATTATGAATATGTTTTTTTATTATAATAAAATTGAGAGTAATTAATAGATATCATTAAGGCTTCTGCGACCGACTATTGACGGACTGAAAAGTTCGTAATTATATTTCCATTGAATAAGCCATAAGAAGATAAATTTCCTGAAAAAGCGATTCAGACCTGACAGTTAGTTTATGTCACCAAGTAACGTGGGTGCGTCGATAGTACCATATATTAACTTAATTAAGAAACAAAC